AACTATTCAAGTGGATAACGAACCAGGGAAAATGACTGATGCTCGACTGAGCAATGACTCGCCACGGTGAAAGTCTGGTGAAGCGGTTGAGATCATGAGCTCGGTTTGTAAATGAATTCGGCGGCACTTCGAAGCCATTGTCAAAGTCACAAATTGAACGACATTGCTTGCACAATGCGACGTGAAATCACCATCGCGCATGGTTTGGAAAACAAAAGCATCGACTAGCACTCAGTTCAACTTGCACAACAAATTTGATCAGAGCGACAGTGGATAGAGCTAGATAGGTGGATATCTCCATATTTCAAGACCCATATTCATCGGTGGGAAGAATCTACCAAGGGTATTGACAGCCTTACACCGTCCGTGACCTCCGATCATAAATCATCTGTCCGTTCGACACGTAGCCAAAGGGGTCCAGGCTTCATGGGTCACTATATAAGTACTCGCACTGCCATAGCTGAAAATGTTGTCCGCCTGTCAGCTGTTACATCACCATCTTTCCCTTCGCCTTACGACCCGATCAAGTCCATAAACATTGTCAACATGAAAGCCTGCAAGGTTCTCCTCCCGTTCACTCTCCTAGGCACTGCCCTGGGAGTGGATATGGCCAAGTACCAAGCTGGGTCAGGCGTCGACGCCTCTTTCGAGCCGTTCCTTGAGTCGTACGTCAAACCTCTTCGTTCTTGGGTATCCATTCACGTCAAGTACTAACTGAAGTTTCCCTCAGTTTGTACGCTTTTGCCGAGGACCACACGTCCACCGACACGTTCACGGACTTTTTCGTCCCGGACACGGGCCGTCTGATTGTGCTCGAGAACACGGCGGAGGGACCGGACGCGATCGTCAAGCTCAAGCAGGCTCTGCTCCCCACAACAGGCGAGAAGCAGTGGAACCATCTGCCGAACGCTACGACGGTGCACTCAGAGACTTCTACCGAGAAGATCTATAATGTGCTCGGTGTTATCCAATCGCGATTCACCGGTGGCAACTGCTCGGTTGCATAGTAAGCACTCTCCCCCGCTCTCGGCCGAGTTGCCGCCATGACATTAAATTACGGTCGGACTTCGCTAACGGATCATCTGCATTAAACAGCTACTCTAGTCGCTTCACTGTGCTTAAGAGCAGCGATGGAAAGGTCCGCAACGAGGCTCACAGCGGCTCGCTTGTGTTGTACGATGACTACATTGTCGACCCCCCTCATTCGCCTACGAACATTCCTTGCTAAACCAACGCGCAAAATGTAACTAAGACGATGTACATGTGGTGTAAATACGCGTGGTGGATGATGAGCTTTGGATGTTACATATGACTGGACGAGATGCATACTAGTAGTTTCAATTGCTGTTATGAGCATGCCGCTTCATTCCATAGAGCTATCACTCTACATACTACATGAACGCCAACAATTACGACATAATGACACTCTACATATACCTCGCTGGAACCTTTGTCATGCCTTCCACTGTACAAGACGCGGCTCTCAATCCGTCGCCTGAAGGTCCTCAGCGTTCGCCATGATTACCGATTCATTCAAGAAGTGCGAACTGGCCTCCAAGTCTCAATTTCGCACTTTTATCCGCAGAACATGGCTCCCTTTTGCTGGGAATGGAATGATGTAGTCTTGGTTGAAGTCAATATCTCTTTCGGTATCGAATAACTCGAGCGAAGGTCCCTCTTGGCCGTGGTAAATATCGTATTTGCGGATGATTGAAGCAAGCACCATTGACATTTCTTGACGTGCAAAGTTCATGCTGTTGCCATGGTCAACAAACACGATAGTCATTGAAACCAGTGCAATAATCACGTACCCAATGCAATTTCTAGTGCCTCTAGCAAACTCGATGAATCCTATGTCAAGTCTTGGGTTGTCGATCCATCGTTGAGGGCGGAACTCGTGGGGATCTTCAAAAGCCTCTGGATTCATGTGCGCGATCTGTGTAGTCATATTTGTCGACGTCCCTGGAGGGAGGACATACTCCTTTCCTCTGCGCTTGTCATGGTAAACGATAGGAACATCTGGCGAGACTCGAGGTAGCCTGGAAACGACGCCAGGGTGAAGGCGTACTGTTTCTTGAATGATGGCACTCAAATACGGCAGCTTCTCGACCTTTGCGAAGGATGGCACTTCTTCGGGGTCAGGAAGGGCGGCAGTGATCTCGGCTTTGACTTTGTGGAAGACAGCTGGATTGGCGAGTAGTCGGTAGATGGCAGCTTGTAGTGTGTATGGTGTTGTACCCTCACCAGCAAAGACGACAAGCTGTGCCTCATGTGCAAGTCGTGGAATGGTTTTCTCTTCGTCAGGGAGCTTACTGTTTAGTATTCCCTCGAAGATTGTGTTCTTCGCACTGTCAGGGTTTTTCGAGTTTCTGATTTCCTCAACCTTTTCAACCCACAACTGTTCAAATGTAAGCCAAAAATATACTAAAGTCCAAATCTTCGGGTATCGGCAACGAACCATCTGCTTGTCCCACATTTCTGTCAATGATGGGATGAACGTCTTGACGGCCCACGGTGGAGCTAAAGCCAGAAATGTGCCGACCCAAGGAAAGTGGCAGAAAGTGTGGTTAAGGATGAAAAAGACGTCCGTCGACAACATGTACGGCATGGCGAAATTGCTCTTCTCCAGAACATGAAAAGAGTCACCAAATGCGTACTCTGTAATCAAGTAGCTTGTAAAAGCCCGGAAAACGTAGTGCATAGGCAACACCTCGCTTGCTTTGCCAGCGTTTTGCATCCGCGCAAGTAACTTTTCCAAGTGCTCTTGAATTATGGGTTCGAGTCTGCGAATACTCGCTGTCGAGAAGAATCCGCTGATGGCGTTACGACGTTTTCGGTGCATATCATGGTCTATAGTTGCGACGATGGACTCCGCAGCTGTCGAAGAGAACGAAAATTGGTCAGCCGAGGAGAAGGTTCAAACGATGAGTTCACTATCGGCTTACTTCCTGTTCGCCTGCCGGTAAAAAAGTACTTGTTTGTCTTCCTCCCAGGTCCCGGAAATATGGAATCGATGAAGTCTGGATCATTGAAGTGGACCTCGTGGGGGTTTATGCGAACGATGGGGCCTGCGGTTAAGTTTAATTATTATCCATATCGTTGGTAAGATGTGGCATGATGACGCACCGTATTTCTCATGCATTTGGCCGATCTTCCTGTAAGACTGACCCCCAAGCACGACATCGTAATAGATCTCATGCCAATAGGTCACAGCTGGGATATTCAAGGAGTTGTTTAGCAGAAGTCTCTTGAGTTATGAGAAGATACAAATTGACAATCTCACCAGCAAGTCTTGGTCCTGGAATACCCGAGATCGAAGAAAGCAACGATAATTCTTTGTCAAATCCTGTCCCTCAACGAAAATTGCCCCAGGTGCGGTTTCATTCTTACGACGGTACGTGATGAGCAAGAATGTGTACACAAGCCACACAGCCAGAGCCGCATAGAGTGTTGTTAGGCTTAATAGCCCTCTTTCTCTCCATGTGTTTATAATACTGGCCACGAGAGGGCTCTGGCCGAAGCGTTCGAATGGTGACATGATCTCCTTCATTGATGAGGATGGCACATAATTCAGTTCAAGCCGAAAGATCAGCTCGTGGTAAACCATTGCAGGTTCTATTCATATTGTACTGTCCGTCTTCTACATGTTTACGGCATTGCTCATGCACTATTCCTGATACTGCCTGGTTCTCCATGATGCCATTCAACATCCGGACTCCTGCTATTCTCGATTCCGATTTGACGCAATATGTGAGAAGGAAGCTAAAGCCGTATACTATAGTAACCATGAAGAAAACATGTCGTTTGAGTGAGCGGGGATTCTGAATCATGTAGGCACATCAAGGGGTCGGCAGGAACGGGGCGGCCCGGGGTTGACCCGTTGATTACATTGACCCTGGTGAGCACGCTATCATGCATGGTCAGCAACATCCACCACCGACACCATGCTCAAATTCAGAGTTTGCTGATTGCCAAGATGACACGAACCGGACATCCTCCTCGACAAGATTGCTGACGCGTGTAGCTTACGGTGTAGTGTTATCTAGGGGTCCAACAGTTTTGGGCATGCCGCGTAGACGGGCGTCTGGCCGCAGTCCCTGCAAAGTTGGTCTTCAAACACGGCTTCATGTCCGAACATTAGATGGGGAACAATATTGAGGTCGTAGACGAGGCAATAGTAAGCTTGGGTGTCCACCGAATGTCGTGAATGGCACTATCGCAGTTGGATCTGACTCAGATGTAATTCATGGGACTTGGATGAACTCCTACCTTCCCCACAACGTGAAATGGGTTAACTCAGGAGAGATGAAAAGGACTAGCTGCCGGGCGGCCCGGAGGGATCTCGGTTCGTCCGATGAACTCATCGAAGCTGGGAAGTGGTTATTCATTCTAGACATCAGTAGGATTCGATAGCGTGTAAAACCCCTTTCGACGTGGGCTGATCGAGAGACCGCTGAACTCAATGAGGAACGACCAGACTCATACTAAACTTACATGTCTTCGTTCCTTTATGAAAGATAGTTCTTGTTATTTTGTATCAATCACTCTGTGTCTATCCGACCTTTTCAAGGAGCCAATCGCGTTGTCAACCTTGTTGAAACTTGCGTCTGTATTTCAGATTCGTCCGACATGCAAGCACATGCATCCCTTCTTTTCGGCATAGCCACGGCTTTGTCGCAAGTCTCTTCGGTCACCGCTGCGCCTTTCAACGGCTCCACATCCCCTGCAAACTGTCGCTATCTTCCGGGAGACAGGCAGTGGCCAGATCCGGCAACCTGGAGAATACTCAATGATACCGTCGGCGGCAGACTCATTGCGGGTGAACCGTTGGCGAAATATTGTCACGGCGCTAGTTACGATGCTGACGCCTGTGCCGACATTCGGGCGCGATGGACCGAACCAGTCACATAGTCATTCAACCCTTTGTGGACCGAGATTGCGCCCTCCAGAAGAACAGCCCATTGACATTCAAAAACAGCTTTCAGGATCCTGTCAACGTCATGTCACCCTACTGGCTCAACAACACCTGCAGCCCCTATACTTCACATAACGCGTCCTGCATACTAGGAAACATTGCATCCTATGCTATCAATGTCAGCAGTGTCAGCGTTGTTGTCGCAGGTCTGGAGTTTGCCAGACAGAACAATGTCTGTTTGAGCATCAAAAATACTGGGCATGATTACATTGGTCGTTCCAACGGTGAAGGATCTGTTGCCCTATGGACGCACAATCTCAAGGACATCACATTCTTCAACTACAGTAGTGCCGTGTACACCGGTCCTGCAGCCAAGATATCCGCAGGTGTTCAGTTCTTTGAGGCCTACGCTGCAGCGGCCAGCCATGGACTCCGAGTTGTTGGTGGGTTCTGTCCTACTGTCGGCATGGCCGGTGGCTATGTTCAAGGCGCCGGACAGTGTCCACTAGGAGCTACGTACGGACTTGCTGCTGACAACAGGCTGGAGTTCGAGGTTGGAACCCCAGATGGGAGACATGTTGTGGCATCGCGTACAGAAAACCCGGACCTTTACTGGGCACTGAGTGGTGGCGGAGGTGGCACTTATGGAATCGTATTATCGTTGACGACCAAGGCACACCCTGACGGACAGGTCGCGGGAGGATCCCTTGCCTTCGACAACACCAACGAAGAATCTTTCTGGGCAGCTATTGAGAAATGGCAGCGTCATCTCCTTCTTCTAGACCAGATTCCGGGTTTCACCACTGTCTGGGGATTTACTAACGCATCATTCAGTATCGCTTTTGCGACTCTGTCCGGAGGCAATGCTTCCGCGGTGGCTGATGCGCTCTCGCCGTTCCTCAAAGAACTTGACGACCTCAGCATCGTCCCTTCGTCGTATGAGACCAGCGACCGCTCAACCTTTTACGAGCACTATGAACACTACACGGGCGATATGCCCTATGGGCCGTACACTACAAACGACGTCATCGGCGGCCGTCTCATCCAGCGTTCGACGATTGAACATAACGCAATCAATCTAGTTGCAGTCTTACGAGACGTCGTCAAGCCAGGCCTTCCCTCAGTGCGCGTCAATGGCATTGCCGCAAACGTAACACATGCCCGCGCAGGAAACAGTCCAGGCGATAACGCTGTTCTTCCAGCATGGCGCGAATCTCTGTACTGGCTCAATGTTGACGTCTTGTTTGATCCTGCATCTTCAGTGTCAGACATTCATGGAATCCAAGTGAAGGTCAACCAGTTCCAAGATCGCCTGAGGCCTCTAACGCCTGGTGGAGGCCCATACATGAACGAAGGAACATAAGACAATGTGGATTGGAAGACGGACTATTACGGTTCAAACTATGATAAGCTGCTACAGGTCAAGAAGACCTATGACGCAGACTTTCTTTTGTATTCGCATACTTCGGTGGGGGCTGACGAGGTTACTGTTGCCTCTGATGGGCGCATCTGCAAGAACTAAGAGCTTTCTCACGGTTTTATGCTGGTGTCAACCGCGCGATGGGTTCGTTAGACTGCTATGTTTGCGATCGTCAATCCTCTGAACTGGCTCTCTTGACAGATTCTTTTCAATTTTCCGACTGTATTAATAGCCGATTTAATTCACAGAAGACCTAGTTTGGTGCCAGACAGAAAACCTCATAACTGGTAGAATAACGTTTTCCTTCTTGCTATGGAATGAGAAGATGTTTTTCCTATGCTTTAGGTGCGATCCTATATGTCTAATAAGAGTTCAGGTCAATGTCCCAAACGACTCGGAACTTTCAAAAAAACCTCACGGATTGCTTGATACGACTGGGAGTAGAGTGCACCAAAACAAGAAATCTCACGATAGCGTTGCGTCGCACAAATCAAGAATTCTGTTGCTGAACGGTCTCATGCTAAGTTGCGTAGAATTCTTTCTTTTCTATTCTCTTTAAGACTCCCATCATTGGGACCCGAAATCACAAGCTGTGCCTGCTTACGACTGATTTTGAACCAACGATGCTACTATTACCATGGCAGCACAACACCATCCCACTGGATCAACTTCCCGCCGTGGCTGTCCCTTGTAGCTGAGTCAACCTCCTTCACGATTCCCTCAGTCACATCTCCAACCTTCAATGGCGCTTGCTCATGGCCAAAGTAATGTGCACCGTTGTTTCCAAGGTCCGTTTGGACCCAGCTGAGATAGCTGTCAGTATGTTCGTCCGCAAGTGCACGGGTTGGCCTGTCTTACCCCGGGTCGATGGGAAACGCAAATAGCTCCGGCTCTTCTCGGTGGATAGCCTTGGTCAACCAATGTGCAACGACTTTGGATGTGCCATAAGCCGCATTTGGCATGTCAAGTTGGTTCTGCAGGTTTATTAGCGGACGACCTGCCCACGTGATTGGTGCAGTATCTTACTGTCAACCAGGCCGAACACGAGCCAATTGTAATCCACTTGCCGCTCTTGGATTTCTTCAGCAGAGGCAGCGTAGCTTGGTACGTAAAGATAAGACCGTGGACGTTTGGCACGTAGTGGCCTTCGATATCTTCGACTTTGATCTCGGACACCTTGGGCCATGCAAAACAGACACCGGCATTGGCAATGACAACGTCAAGGTGATCAATGCCCTGCGCTTCCAGTTGTTTCACGGCCTCTAGACCGTCAGTCTCGACTGTGATGTCAAATTTAACAAGTACCAGGGAAGACTAGATGACTCGTGATCGGGATCGCGAACCGTGCCGATGACGGTGTGATTAGGCCTAGCCAGATATTTCTCGAGGAGGCCTTTGCCGATGCCGCGATTGGCACCAGTGATAAGCACGATTATTGGTGCCATTGTTGCTTTTCGTTCAGGGCAGACTCAACAGGACTGGATACACAAAGAGACACCGAGGTGAACGAAATGCGTTGCAGGCTTCTGGCTTGTGGAATATCTATAGCCTTCAAATATCAACTCAATTATTCTCTCAACGCGTCATCGTCGCGTAAAGCAGCATTTCTGATGCACTGTAATCCGCAAAAGGCTGACAAATTCAGACTCAGTAGACGTCAGGAGCCTTGCTTACCGGGCAGCTTGGCCAAGCATGGTCACAGTCGGCATTGATGATGCCTGGAAGGTATGGGGTTTTGGCGCCGAAACTTGCTCGACTGTCTGTCTAATCGCTTGTCATCGAATCTCAGTGCCATTCCTCTACTCGACCTGCCCCAAAGTCTCCTTTCATGCTGGCTGCGGGGTATCAATTGCAACAACATCATTTCCATGGACGGTTCATCGCAACATGAAAGCGACAGGGTAGCTGGACCATTAAGTCCCACCATTATTGAATGGAGGGATCATTACTGCATGGTCAGCGTCTCGCAGATTGTTACAGACAAGCTTCCTAGTGAAAGCCAAATGCTGACCATGCATACTGCAAGGATACACGGAAGTGGGATCTCTTGCCCCACGTGGGGGTCCGATTGCGTGCGAATGGGTCCCCATGAATCTCAATTTCGCTACCAGAACGACATGGAACGATAACGAGGATGACAACGGGGACGATAAGGGCCAAAAGTTTCCATGAACTCGGGTTTGTGGACAAAATAGGAAATCTGGATCCGTCAACTTGTCAGCACAAACTCAAAGCTGTAGGCTCGAATGTCAGGGGAAGGGGCATTGAAATTATCTCAAAGACGCAGTGGCGCAAGGAAAAATTCAATTGGTTTGCGTAAGGCTTGTATTTAAAACTCATAGATGTCAATAGTGAACTTAACACATTTACTACGTCTAGCTATGGATAGATTGTTTCATGTGATATCTAATCAAGAGCATGGCGAATAAAGTTTACCATCGCTTGCCAAATCTCTTTGGATCCGCTACCGCTCAGCACAGTGAGATGCCTCTTTCCATTGGCAACATATAGCTCCTTTGGTCCTTCAAATCGTCCGAATGCTTCTTCCTGCTCCTCGGCTGGAGATATGTCATCCAGCCCTGGAACGATCATTTGAACCGGCGTCCGAACGAGATCAAGAAGCTCCTTAGGTCTGAACAGGGCCAGTTTGTGGTACGTCTGCAACGTGATTCGATCTCGAAAGTTAGGTGCTCCACGGTCGATAACGGCATTCATAAAGTTGTATGCCTCCATGCCCCCCGGTCCCCCGGATCCTGCCATGCCGATGGGGTTCTCACCTCTGCTATTGAAAGAAGGCAACGAAAACGGCTCGTTACCACGAAGCTGGGACTGCCGGTCTCTGATGAGCTGTGCGAATGCTTTCTCCCGCTTCTATGGTTGGATGAAACTAAAGATGGGGCACACCATAACCAAAGCTCTCACCCGCCGATCAACAGCGGCTGCACAAGCGCTCACCGTAGCACCGAAAGACATGCCCCAAAGAACGATGCGACGGGCGTCCACACTTGGTAACGATGCAACGTGTGTTACAATGTCTGTGATTGGCAGACGTTAGCAGAAGCACGTGCGCTATCCCACGACCATGGCTTGGGATTTCGTGTGGCAGACTTACCGGAAAGGTCTTCCGCCTGTTGCAGCGGACTGATATGGTTTCTTGGTAACCCGTCGCTATCGCCAATACTTCGTGGATCGTATATGAGGGTGTTGAAACCCAAGGACTGGAACCACTCAGCCAGTTCCGGCAACAGCATCTCTTTCACACAATTAAACTGACAGTACGTTAGCTTATTTTTCTAGCTATATCGGTCGAAGGAACGCACCCCATGTGTCATAATGATAGCCGGAGCTGGACCGTCGCCGACGGCGTAGAACAAACCGCGGAGAACTACGCCATCGATCGTTTTGTATTCCACCTTCTCCCTTCGGGCTGACATTCCGAAATTTGGATTAGAGAAAGAAATACGTCTTTGAAAGCGCGATGTGGGAACTCTTGTAATTCCGGAATAATTTCGCAGGGTAGACAATATATTTGGGATGGTTTGATGCAGACAAAAGTGCCCGCAAGAAGTATGTGGAAGCCCTCGTACGACGTCTCAGTTTGGGCAAACAAAATGTGTTTTCTTTACTGACAGATGGACTTGAATGAACTAATTTGAACTTTTCAAATGAACTTTTCAAATGCGCCACGGACGATTTATGAGAGCCAAATGGCAGACAGCTGTACCACGAAAGTGCGAGGCCACCGGGCGATAACGACACATGCTGAACATCCGGGATCGTCCTTAGCAGACCATCACCTCCACCCACGTTCCAAACTCGCGTATCTTGTGGTACAAGCCACGTGTCTCAGTGTTCGGGATCAAAATACCTGTTGAAACAGTTCTAGCCGACGTATTGACACCACTGCAGAATATCCTTACGACATCGATGTGGCCCACAACTTTGCGGGCGGGAGGTGCCCCCGGACGGCCCGAGGCTCCTTCCATGGCCCCGTTTGTGTGCATGAGACCCTTGTTAACCACCTCAACTTCTGATACTGGGTGTAAGTCGACCAGGCTACCGAAGTCCCTAACGTACTTCTCGTGGGTTGAGTCCCGGTGAACCGCAACCTGGCCTGTTGCGAGGGTTCGGTTTGCATCGTCAACCCGAGAAACTTCGTTGATACAGCATGCGACCTGGCTGACTTTGCAGCAAACGATTCATTCCATGTTGCAACATCATCAAGGCTGGTCAGCCTGAGTGGATGTAGTAAGGATAATTCCCACTTCAGGGCGTCGGACGTGTGTCGTATCCTGCTTATCTCTATACCATAGCCACAAAGTGCCAAACACCGCGCACAACGCCATTGGGGGCTGCTACTGCGACATCTTCAACGATACAACATGGCTAAGCTGGGAAGACTACGACTCATGGTCCATGTTCAGAACGAAGGCTATCTGCAAGGGTCGGCGATTCGCGATGTACGGGGTAGCCACCTTGCAATCAAAACGGCACTCGACGTGGTATTTCCAACCCCCGTCGTTGAAGAATTCTGCACGTCTGGCCAAGTTTCGCGATCTTCTGGTTTGATAACGCCAGAGACGAAACTTTATTGGAGCCTTCTCCACGATGGCGACACCAGTCATAGGTCAGAGGATGTGACTTGTCGGGCGGATTGTACAACAGGTCTGGCCAGGCAATCTACAAGGATTACCGAAGTGGTTATCGACAAGCGAGTGAGCATCAAAGATGACCACGGAGATAGGCAATCGCGAAGACGTGCAGATTTCTCTCAGTGTCGATATGAATGAAAGTCTCAGCTCTTCTCGCGAACCGAACTCATTGTCAGACGTTGTTCTTTGAAAGCAGAGAAGCCGCAATACCCATCTTTTCTTGTTGCTTCAAAATTCTGTCTTCGAGATTCAGTTTTGTTCAGTTATTTAAACTTACTGAGGCAACATGTCAACCTCACAGCACCCGAAGGAGCCTATCGCCATCATTGGCATTGCCTGCCGAGTTCCTGGCGGAAACACCAACCCTCATAAACTCTGGGAGTTCCTCAAGAGGAGAGGTATTGCCAGGCTGATGTGGATTATTTGCTTGGGCTTGCCTCGAGCGGATTCCGTGATGGTCCAGGGCAGCTGCATCCAGCCCAACACACCACGGCCAGAGTGCCCAGGGTGCTTGAACAGCCGGAAACTACGGCCGCAAGATCTAAGCCAGATTCATCGGACCCGACGGGTGAATCAAGCTCCGATGGCAGTCCCACCCCACGCAGCAATAATCCCTCGTCCTCTTCCGGATCCTCGCCCAGTACTAGCGGCGGGCCACTAGCCGGTGCATCTCCATCATCCAGAGATAACCAAACCCCTGTTTCTGATCGCGGGTGGCCTGGAATTTTACACATTGCGGCGCGTCGAGGTCATGAGCGAATAGTTAGGAGGCTCATGGAGCATGATGTCGACTGTAACGAAAAGGACAGCGACGGTCGGACTGCACTAATCCACGCATCCATAGACGGCCATGAAGCAGTTGCTAGAATATTGCTTCAGGCGGGGGCTCGCATCAGCGACCTTGACCGACGAAAACGCTCAGCCTTACATTGGGCTGTTTTAGGAAGTCATGGAGCGTTGTTGAGACTACTCCTCGAGTACTACACACAAAGAGACTGGGAGCATGGCTTAGATGCGTATGATGAGCTTGGGTGGACGGCGCTACACATTGCCGTTGAGAAGGACTTTGAGGGTGCCGTCTTGGTGCTATTGGAGGCCAGCGCTGACTTGCACGCGAAAGCACGAAAGACGTGTAATGGCGATAATGACGAGGGGGATACCAGGATACAGGCCAACTCTCAGGATGTCATTAAAGATTGATGTGAGGAAGTTTCCAGTCTTTTGCTGCTTGAAGATTTACGAACGCTTGCCACTTTGTAAGAAGTATGCTCGGATAATTAAGCCGGTGACCTACCTTACCGTTTAGAAACCGTCTTACAAATCATCACTTTTGCAGAGCAGCAGGCTCCAAAACCCCAACGGAGTTTTCACCTGTTGGTCAGAATCAGGCTGAAGCAGCCCCTCAAACCACTCAGACGGGCAGCCTGCCTTGCGTTACACTGCATATGACTGTTTCTAAGGATAGCAATTGGCTACTAGGCACAAGCAATAATTGGTGGAATTGGAGCCATCCTCATAGATGCTGAAATTCTCAGACACATCCAACGGAAATAGCCTGCGGCTGACGGCAGACGCCGTCACACAGCCGAGATTGTAGGTACAGGAATGAGAAAAGACGCTTTCAAGTACAGGCTGAATAATCAATGGGCAGGCTTTACTGCAAGTCTCCTTGAGGCTGGTCAAGGCTGATTGCTTTATGGCTTGCATAGCTGAACGGATAGAGAAGGTGTGGCCGATGAAGTGTTCCAATTCGGCACATGGTTACTGAAATGGGAACGTGAAGAAATAAGCAG